AACATTTTAAATAGTTTTTTCAAATAGAAATTTGCAAAATCTCTGCTAGATATCGTTATGTATAGATATAAAAATAAATATTTTTGAGGTTATGTCAATAATTATGAGTTTTATCAAAAAAAATTTTAAACAATATTTACTTAAAATTAGGTTGCGAATGGTTTATCTTAATAAAGCTTTTTGATATCTTCACCAGGAAAGCCTGTACACTGGTATAAAATAAAATACAGGGTGATTCGCTATTTTGTACATAATCTTGGTAAATATTGGTCATATTAAAAATTGTTTCAAATAATAGTTGTTTAAAATTATATTCTAAATAATTGTTCAAATAAAAATTTTGAAAATCTCCGCTAGATATCGTTGTTTATAGGTACGAAAATTAATGTTTTTGCGGATATATCAATAATTATGAGTTCTGTCAAAAAACTTTTCAAACAATATTTACTTAGAATTAGATTATGAATGATTTTTCTTAATAGTATTTTTTGATGTCTTCGTTAGATAAGGCTGTGTACTGGCGTAAAAGCGATACAGGGTGGTACACCTTGATAAATACTGATTATATTAAAAATTGTTTCAAATAATAGTTGTTTAGAATAACATTTTAAATAGTTTTCTCAAGCAGAAATTTTGAAAATCTCCGCTAGATATCGTTATGTATAAGTATAAAAATCAATATTTTCGAGGTTATGTCAATAAATATGAGTCTTATCAAAAAAATTTTCAAACAATATTTATTTAAAATTAGGTTGCGAATGATTTATCTTAATAAAGTTTTTCAATATCTTCGCCAGAAAAGGCTGTACACTGGTATAAAATGAAATACAGGGTGATTCGCTATTTTGTACATAATCTTGGTAAATATTGGTTATATTAGAAATTGTTTCAAATAATAGTTGTTTAGAACAACATTTTAAATAGTTTTTTCAAATAGAAATTTTGAAAATCTCCGACAGATGTCGTTATGTATAGGTATAAAAATCAATATTTTTGAGGTTATGTCAATAATTATGAGTTCTATCAAAAAACTTTTCAAACAATATTTATTTAGAATTAGATTATGAATGATTTTTCTTAATAATATTTTTTGATATCTTCGCTAGATAAGGCTGTGTACTGGTATAAAAGCGATACAGGGTGGTACACCTTGATAAATACTGATTATATTAAAAATTGTTTCAAATAATAGTTGTTTAGAATAACATTTTAAATAGTTTTTTTAAATACATCTTTGAAAATCTCCGCTAGATATCGTTATGTATAGGTATAAAAATAAGCGAATAATGAGTGGTTGTTTCCATTTAAAAAAGGAAAATTGTCATATTAAAATCTAAAACCGAAATATTTTTTTTGACTACGTCATGGAATTCTCTGTAAAATAATGTCTTAGTTATAATACTCCACCTATAATAATAACCAAGATAATTGCACTTGTTGGTTTTATGATATTTTCAATTATAGAAAAACGAGATGATGACATGTAAGCTACTTTTTTTCTAACTCTCATAGTTTTCGAGTTAGCCTATTCGGACATCGAATTTGAACCACTCTGTACATCCAATATGTCTAATAATAATCTTTCCCAAGGTTTATATACTATAGCTTTATTGCCTGTCTTGTTTAGCGGTCACTATTAACAACAACTTATGCGACCATTTTGCTTCTTATTATTTTAACGGTTATTTTATAGTCTGAACATAGACCCAAGCACTTGTGTCGCCATCTGTTGTGTTTATATCTAAACTGTACAAAATACTAACTTCTTTCGTTTAATATCACATCTCAACATTATTATGTCGAACTTCTTTTTTATTTCGGCTTTCATATTACTAATTTTTTTGGATAATTGTTGCACTAACACGTTTAAAGTAGCCTCCTTTTCGATTTTAATTTGAGGAGCTTGTAATTTGTTAAGAACAATTTTATGTTGCTTCAATTTGTGGACAAATATTAATTGCTTATCAATTTCTTCATCACTGTTAAATTAGTCACTTCCACTCGAATCTGCCATGGTACAGAATGTTGTTTTATTAACGTTGTTTAACCCACGGTGTTGTATTCACGTCAACACAATAATAAAAGTTGAACTATCTAAATTTGCAGATTGAGACCTGTTCAAATTAGCAATTTCTGTAGAAATGTAGGATTTGCTTAAAAATTTTATTAATTAGGGCTATTGTCGTTTTCTTTGGTAAATAAAATAAAATTTTTAAATGTACGTGCTTTGAATAATTTAAATTATTATCATACGGTATGGTTGTTGTGATAAGTGTCTCGGTGCTATTATAACTGGGCGATGGTGACATTCGAGCCGACCCTTGATGGCATAAAAGCACTGTCCTGTTTTACCTTTTATACGTTCCCGAAGGAGATGATTGATGTCGTTGTCTCGGAATGGCGTCGTGACGCCGCCGGATAATACCCCGGCTCATGTAATGATCGTCGTCAACTCAAGAACCAAGTATCATATTTCCGCATTCAACAGGAAATTCATTAACAAATTCGTTTTATAAAAATAAATTTGGCGGAGGAGCCGGGAATTCACCAATTTATATTCGAAATCGCGTACAATATTTGCGTTTAACATTTACTATGATGTTAAACGGTTATTGCTGTTATTTACGCGAACCGCATTCGCAAAATGGAGTGAATGAGGTGGTTGTTAAATTTGCGATCGCCATTCCCATTATTATACCGCCCTTATTTATGAGAAATACGCCGATAATTACACCTGGTGAAATGAAGGTATTAATATTTAAACGAATATCGACCTAGACTCGGTTCGGTTTGTTATTATTAACGAAGAAAAACATTTAACGAGGAACAAAAAATCAATTAGTTTTACAATGAAAATCATAAATAAGGAATTAAATTCAAATAATAGTTGTTTAAAATTATATTCTAAATAATTAATCAAATAAAAATTTTGAAAATCTCCGCTAGATATCGTTGTCTATAGGTATGCAAATTAATGTTTTTTCGGTTATATCAATAATTATGAGTTCTATCAAAAAACTTTTCAAACAATATTTACTTAGAATTAGATTATGAATGATTTTTCTTAATAATATTTTTTGATATCTTCGCTAGATAAGGCTGTGTACTGGTATAAAAGCGATACAGGGTGGTACACCTTGATAAATACTGATTATATTAAAAATTGTTTCAAATAATACTTATTTAGAATAACATTTTAAATAGTTTTTTCAAATAGAAATTTTGAAAATCTACGCTAGATATCGTTATGTACAGGTATAAAAATTAATATTTTTGAGGTTATGTCAATAATTATGAGTTTTATCAAAAAAAATTTTAAACAATATTTACTTATAATTAGGTTGCGAATGATTTATCTTAATAAACTTTTTCGATATCTTCGCCAGGGAAGGCTGTACACTGGTATAAAATCAAATACAGGGTGATTCGTTATTTTGTACATAATCTTGGTTATATTAAAAATTGTTTCAAACAATAGGTGTTTAGAATAACATTTTAAATAGTTTTTTCAAATAGAAATTTTGAAAATCTACGCTAGATATCGTTATGTATAGGTATAAAAATTAATATTTTTGAGGTTATGTCAATAACTATGAGTTTTATCAAAAAAAATTTTAAACAATATTTACTTAGAATTAGGTTACGAATGATTTATCTTAATAAAGTTTTTCGATATCTTCGCCAGGGAAGGCTGTACACTGATATAAAATGAAATACAGGGTGATTCGCTATTTTGTACATAATCTTGGTAAATATTAGTCATTAAAAATTGTTTCAAATAATAGTTGTTTAGAATTATATTCTAAATAATTATTCAAATAAAAATTTTGAAAATCTCCGCTAGATATCGTTGTCTATAGGTATGCAAATTAATGTTTTTCGGTTATATCAATAATTATGAGTTCTATCAAAAAACTTTTCAAACAATATTTACTTAGAATTAGATTATGAATGATTTTTCTTAATAACATTTTTTGATATCTTCGCTAGATAACGCTATGTACTGGTATAAAAGCGATACAGGGTGGTACAAATTGATAAATACTGATTATATTAAAAATTGTTTCAAATAATAGTTGTTTAGAATAACATTTTAAATAGCTTTTTTCAAATAGAAATTTTGAAAATCTCCGCTAGATATCGTTATGTATAGGTATAAAAATCAATATTTTTGAGGTTATGTCAATAATTATGAGTTTTATCAAAAAAATTTTCAAACAATATTTACTTAGAATTAGATTGCGAATGATTTATCTTAATAAAGTTTTTCGATGTCTTCGCCAGGGAAGGCTGTGCACTGGTATAAAATGAAATACAGGGTGATTCGCTATTTTGTACATAATCTTGGTTATATTAAAAATTCTTTCAAATAATAGTTGTTTAGAATTATATTCTAAATAATTATTCGAATAGAAATTTTGAGAATCTCTGCCAGATATCGTTATGTATAGATATAAAAATCAATATTTTTGAGGTTATGTCAATAATTATGAGTTCTATCAAAAAACTTTTCAAACAATATTTACTTAGAATTAGATTATGAATGATTTTTTTAATAAAATTTTTTGATATCTACGCTAAATAAGGCTGTGTATTGGTATAAAAGCGATACAGGGTGTCTAATAATTTTAATAATAATTTAATAATTGTACTTTGGTGTTTTGTATACTCCATAGTATCTAAACAGAGGTCAAAATGAATTTGATGATGTACCGGAGATATCCTCTTTAAATAATATATTTTATGTTTTGTGATTTTTTTGTTAATAAAAACAAAGTATACCTTTTAAACGTATGAATATTTAAAAAACGCCAATCATTTCCTTAAAAAATCGATTTCCTTTCCAATATTTTCGTCTATTCAAGTCGACGTGACCCTAATTTATGGGATAGGAAATTTTGATGTATCGTTGGAGAGTTCCCGGAACATTTCCATATTGAATCTAAAATAATATTTTTCAAGCAAATTTTGTACGTTTAACATTTTTCTTTTTAGAGCTGGAGAAGAGGTACCCTCTTGCAGCGCAGAGCAATTACTGCGCAGAGCTGGAGGAGCTGCAAGAATTATTACACTTTCCCGAAGAGGTCGCTTTACGCTTGGCTGACACAGAATACCAACTCTTTTACCAGGTAAAAATACGATAAAGCACAAATTTAAATTCTATTAAACGCCGATTCACAATTAAGTCCTTTAATCCCGCAAAAACGAGGAACAACCCCGTTTCCCGATTTCTAAAAGACTTTGCGGGACTCACATTTACATATAAATTAAGAAAATAAAATAAAGTTTAAAAAAAGATTGAAATTTATTCGTTTTAGGTCCCACCGATTGATTACCTCCGTCAGGTGACGTTAGATTTAGGCGGAGGCACCGGAACTTCATCAGAAACTCTTTCAGGGAACTCCTCAACAGCAAGATCATCAGTAGCAACACTAATTAAACGTTTTAATGAGGTTAATTAAAAAGAAAATTCGATTTATTACATCTAATGGTTAATTTTTTATAAACTTTTTAGGTTAGCGCTTGGATAACACAANCATATTAAAAATTGTTTCAAATAATAGTTGTTTAGAATTATATTCTAAATAATTATTCAAATAAAAATTTTGAAAATCTCCGCTAGATATCGTTGTCTATAGGTACAAAAATTAATGTTTTTGCATTATTATACCGCCCTTATTTATGAGAAATACGCCGATAATTATACCTGGTGAAATGAAGGTATTAATATTTAAACGAATATCGACCTAGACTCGGTTCGGGTTGTTATTATTAACGAAGAAAAACATTTAACGTGGAACAAAAAATCAATTAGTTTAACAATGAAAATCATAAATAAGGAATTAAATTCATTCCCAGTAAAAATCTAGTTTTAAACGAGAAAACCTTTTTATATGAAAATGAGCTTTTCGTTTTATGATAGGATCTAGTGTTGTGCATACGGAGTAATTGCTTCCGGTTAAGTAGGTCAAAGCTCTGGTTGTAAATAATTCATTTATCCCGATGTAATTATTTATTATAACTCTTTATAGAATTATTTTCAATTTGAAAGTTTATTGTAAAAAAAGGAAATATCTTACCGTCAGCTTGGAGCGAAGAATGGTGTTCATGAATGATTGGCTTGTGACCCTCTATCAGATTTGGCAATCTAAAGGGACTTCCTAAATCGCGCATAGCCCCACAGGCGAACTTCGATTGCTCTGAGCAATCATGTGTGCTTCAACAAGATGATCGTTTCCAGATCCTTTCTTAGATCTATAACAAAAATAAAAATTTAATAAAATCTAATTATCTTAAAATAATTTTCGATCGATAAAAAACTTAAATACTTTTTTATCGTCACTTAATTAACGAATATTCATCATAAATTTCGGAATTTACGATAAAACCCAATCGTGAGATATATCGGAAAAATTGGAGAGGTTGTTTTCTTTTCTCTAAACGCTAATGGATCGTAATGGAAATGGAAAACCTACATTCCCTGTGTGCATATTGATTTTATAATTAGGCCAACATCAGTGTTATTAACCCAATTCTTTTTTATTTATATATTTTTCTACTTTTATTATTACATTTCAGATTTAAATCGAAATTTTGTTCGATCATGTTTCATTGTTAGGCAACTTTTAATACATTACTTATTCTCATCTCTTTTCTCATTTCAAATCGTAGGAATTCTTCTACGAAAAGTAATTTTCAGAAGGTTCTCCACGTTAGTGGAATTAAATTGAAACAGAAATCTTTTCCAAGAATTTTTCAATCAGAAACATAATAATAACAAACAAATAATACAGGAAAATAACAATCATTTCAACCACCCACTAACTAAAAAAATAATGTCATACTTAATTTAATCTCTTGAAATTTATAAGTTTCAAAAATGTATTTATATTAGTGGTGGAACGATATTCGGCAATTTAAAATGGCTAATATACAGGGTGGTGTCTACGGATATTCGACAGTGAATACTGAAAGTTAGTTTTGAAACTATCAATCGTTTAACATTTTTCAGAACAATTATTTTTTATGAATTAATATTAGTACTAACTCTATTATTAGATCTAGAACTAGAAGTTTCCGGGTTTAACCGTGCATCTTTAAAAAAGAGTCACAATTCAGATATCATGTTGTAACCTTCTTTCCAAACAAATCCGAAGTATTTTTTTTAGTTAAAAAATATCTATCCAACACACAGTAATAAAAAAGAAAATCAATGACGCGTTAAAATGCCAAACCAGATGCCTATTTCACAAAAATTGTTATCAAAAAATGAACACTACTGCATTTAAAAATTTTACAAACGACACAATTCTATTATACAATCAATTATACAGGGTGATTCAAAAAACCGCTTTGCTGGGGTCGCAAATGCCTCCTTAACGAGATATAGCGGGTTAAAGTTTCTTTAAAATTAAACATTATTTACAATAAAAAGCCCTTTGTTAATAATATTGTCGACGCCATTGCTAATTTTGCTCAAACGGGCAGTATTTTCGTGCAAAGCTACCCGCTATATCTGGTTAAAGAGGCATTTGCATTGACTATTCATCTTAATTTTTCATGTATTATCTACTCTAGAAGTCTGTCAGCGGTTTTTTGAATCACCCTGTATAATTGGTGCATAAAATACTTGTGCATTATTTTAATAATAAAATCATTAAGTATCCAGATTGGCCTGCTTTCANACAATGAAAATCATAAATAAGGAATTAAATTCATTCCCAGTAAAAATCTAGTTTTAAACGAGAAAACCTTTTTATATGAAAATGAGCTTTTCGTTTTATGATAGGATCTAGTGTTGTGCATACGGAGTAATTGCTTCCGGTTAAGTAGGTCAAAGCTCTGGTTGTAAATAATTCATTTATCCCGATGTAATTATTTATTATAACTCTTTATAGAATTATTTTCAATTTGAAAGTTTATTGTAAAAAAAGGAAATATCTTACCGTCAGCTTGGAGCGAAGAATGGTGTTCATGAATGATTGGCTTGTGACCCTCTATCAGATTTGGCAATCTAAAGGGACTTCCTAAATCGCGCATAGCCCCACAGGCGAACTTCGATTGCTCTGAGCAATCATGTGTGCTTCAACAAGATGATCGTTTCCAGATCCTTTCTTAGATCTATAACAAAAATAAAAATTTAATAAAATCTAATTATCTTAAAATAATTTTCGATCGATAAAAAACTTAAATACTTTTTTATCGTCACTTAATTAACGAATATTCATCATAAATTTCGGAATTTACGATAAAACCCAATCGTGAGATATATCGGAAAAATTGGAGAGGTTGTTTTCTTTTCTCTAAACGCTAATGGATCGTAATGGAAATGGAAAACCTACATTCCCTGTGTGCATATTGATTTTATAATTAGGCCAACATCAGTGTTATTAACCCAATTCTTTTTTATTTATATATTTTTCTACTTTTATTATTACATTTCAGATTTAAATCGAAATTTTGTTCGATCATGTTTCATTGTTAGGCAACTTTTAATACATTACTTATTCTCATCTCTTTTCTCATTTCAAATCGTAGGAATTCTTCTACGAAAAGTAATTTTCAGAAGGTTCTCCACGTTAGTGGAATTAAATTGAAACAGAAATCTTTTCCAAGAATTTTTCAATCAGAAACATAATAATAACAAACAAATAATACAGGAAAATAACAATCATTTCAACCACCCACTAACTAAAAAAATAATGTCATACTTAATTTAATCTCTTGAAATTTATAAGTTTCAAAAATGTATTTATATTAGTGGTGGAACGATATTCGGCAATTTAAAATGGCTAATATACAGGGTGGTGTCTACGGATATTCGACAGTGAATACTGAAAGTTAGTTTTGAAACTATCAATCGTTTAACATTTTTCAGAACAATTATTTTTTATGAATTAATATTAGTACTAACTCTATTATTAGATCTAGAACTAGAAGTTTCCGGGTTTAACCGTGCATCTTTAAAAAAGAGTCACAATTCAGATATCATGTTGTAACCTTCTTTCCAAACAAATCCGAAGTATTTTTTTTAGTTAAAAAATATCTATCCAACACACAGTAATAAAAAAGAAAATCAATGACGCGTTAAAATGCCAAACCAGATGCCTATTTCACAAAAATTGTTATCAAAAAATGAACACTACTGCATTTAAAAATTTTACAAACGACACAATTCTATTATACAATCAATTATACAGGGTGATTCAAAAAACCGCTTTGCTGGGGTCGCAAATGCCTCCTTAACGAGATATAGCGGGTTAAAGTTTCTTTAAAATTAAACATTATTTACAATAAAAAGCCCTTTGTTAATAATATTGTCGACGCCATTGCTAATTTTGCTCAAACGGGCAGTATTTTCGTGCAAAGCTACCCGCTATATCTGGTTAAAGAGGCATTTGCATTGACTATTCATCTTAATTTTTCATGTATTATCTACTCTAGAAGTCTGTCAGCGGTTTTTTGAATCACCCTGTATAATTGGTATTATACGCCTGTGGCAGTGCATAAAATACTTGTGCATGGCCACTTAATAATAAAATCATTAAGTATCCAGATTGGCCTGCTTTCAAAAGATGCGCAAGAAACTCGGAATAAAGACTTTAGTAGGTATAGAGAGAACTTTTCCAGAAAAATGTCAAGAATACACAATAATGACATTTTAAATAGACTATTAATATCTTCAGACCCAATTATAATATCATTTCATAGCAAGAAATCAAGGAATAATACAAATTTTTTTTTGAAGAATTTATAAGCCTTCTCTGCTTTGAAAATGATGAAAAAAGAAATAATTTTTTATCGTCAATTGCAACTAATATTGACATTGTAAAACACAGTGAGGACGAAGAAAAATAAATTTTAAAACGGTGTGTTAAAATACAAAATTTGCTTATGGGTTAAAACATAATTTATGGTTATCATTACATTATTAAACATTTGTCACAAATTAACACAGAAATTTTACACCTTTTAATTGTTTTTTAATAGTCAACATATTTTTTTATGTACAATTAAAAAGTGTAATAAAAACTATAGCATTCAATTTAAAATAACGAAGTTAGGTCTACTTCCGGTAGACCGGAAGTGGCAGCTATCTTGAAAATGTTTTAGATCAAAAGTTTTGAATGAACAACCTATACTACCAAAATTTCAAACCTCTATGAATAGTGGTACCTCAAAAAGTTTTAACAAACCAGTTACCTGAGACACCCTGTATATATTATAATATACAGGGTGGTTCACATAAGAACTGACACAAAGCAGAAACATGTAGAGGACAATAAATTAAGATGATTTAACGTAACTTACCTCTATACTAAGTTCTACACCTGAGGAGTTATAGGCCTTCAAAGTTGGCTCTTAAATTTTTAAAAGTTCAATATCTTCGTAATACATTAAGCTAGAAAACCAAAATTTGGTATACATTATGAGTGTACCAAGGGTGTTAATTGGTAGCAAATTGAACTCAATTGAGGCATTTCATTTAAAGGTAATGGTACCCTAAATTTGGACAGATTTTTTTAACCTTTTGGTGGATTTAATACATTACTTCTTCATTTCATGTGGAATTTAATTCCAAAACTTTTCTTACTCTTATTATTTTTTAAAAAACTTTGTCATTTTCATAAAAAACTTAAATAACTAAAGACACGTATTTCGTAATGTTACTTAAAATAAGCGAAAATTCAGTAGTCGGCTATGAAATTGTACGTCAAACTTGACAAATAGGTTATAAAGTTACTTGACGACAAGGTTTTATAACCATCGAGACATCAGCTCTGTGTCGGTTCTTATGTGAATCACCCTGTATAAGTATATACACCGTGTCCCGTATCTTCCGCATCAGAGCATTATACGGTTGCAGGATACATAATTCTGAAGCGCCTTTTCTAATATATTTTTTTCGAAATGTTTATAATAACCACACGGGAACTGTTTTTCGACGTCCAATGCCAAATTGTAAATCAGATTCAGGTAATCGGACGGACCGCCGCGCCGATCAAAACACGTTTCTCACGTGTACTTACCAATAGATTCGACACGCAAAGAGAAATAAACTCTTTTCGTGAATTAAAATCGTCTGTTATTGGACAAAAGCGGAGAATCTTAAACAGTTCCCCTTAAAAAATTTTATTAGAAAAATCGCTTCAGAATAATGCTCTGATGCGTTAGATACGGGACATCCTGTATTACTTATTATGAGGGTACATGAAACATTACCTTAAACATCCAACCCAACCCACAACAAAACCTTCGTTTCGATTTTATTTTCAAATATTCGTTTCAAAATGCTAAATTTTGTTTTAAGCACTGTTTATACAGCCTGTTTCAGAGTAAGCGCCTTATTCTTTTTTAGCCACACTATGGGTACTACTTTCAAAATATTTGGCAGTAATATGTTTTAGGACATTCTCTACACGATGGTGATACCAGATTTTCAATTGGACGAATTAATTATTTCAAAATGGCGACTTTCAACTTTTTTTTTATTGTTGAGTTCCTAAAAACATTCTTTTTACAATAGTATTTCGTTTTTCTTAAAAATTCATGTCTTTCCTCATCAAAAAGCAAACTAACATTTTAATCTAGTAGCGCATGAATGTTTTACTCGATGTTATTTTTGTCCAAATATCAAGTAGCGGTAGACACAAAAGAACAATTGAACTTTAATCTAGTAGTCAAACGTCAACCTATGATTGGACACTGCAGATAATAATCAAGTTCAACCCCGTTTTGAAAAATCACTTTCAGTTCTTGAGAAATAAATTTTTTGAATGATCGACGATTTTTAAAAATTTTTCAATTTTTGCCGATTACGTTTCAAAAATTCGTTTAAAATCGATTTTTTGGAATATGAGCAGGAAAATTTCCCAAAATGTTAATAAGAGTGACCTCTTTCCAACGAACCAATACGTTTTGAAAAATAACTTTTAGGTTTTGAGAAAACAATATTTGAAGTTTTGATAAAATTTTCGATGTTACAATTTTCATCGATAATTTTCAAAATTCGCTATAAAATTAATTTCNTTTCACAAAAAAGTAGCTCAGGTTCGCGAAAGCCGCAACTTTCTATCTTTCATAATAACTGAGATACCCTGCAAACCCATCGAAATTTGGACACCCTGTACACAGTGTATACAGGATGTCTCACGTAACTGGTTCGTTACAACTTCTTTAGGGTCCACTATTTGTACAGTTTTGAAATTTTGGTTGTTCATTCGAAACTTTCGATCTAAAACATTCTCAAGATGGCCGCCACTTCCGGTCTACCGAATGCTATCAAAATTTCAAACCTCTATGTATAGTGGAACCTTAAAAAGTTTTAACGAACCAGTTACGAGAGACACCCTGTATACAGGATGTCTCCAAAATGCATGTACAACGGAAGACCATAGATTCCTTGGCTCAAAATAGGTCGATTTAAGTTAAGTTATCTATATCCAAAGTTGCTTCGTTTCGCCGCTAGAGGTCTTCAAAGTTAGCAAAAAAAATTCTTTTATTTTTTATAACTCGAAAACGTGTAAATCAATTGAAACCATTTTTCAGAAGTGAATTCCTAGGTTCAATTAACGTCTTTTTATGGTTTTTGATACGATTTTAGAAACACAGGAATGATGGAAATGTCATATGTTCACCGGATATTACTTCATATTTTTTTTGTGGCCAGGCGACAATTACATTATTATAATTTCTGAATAGCCCTTTTAGTTCTAAACCGTTTTTGTCTCTTATAAGATTTTGATTATATAAGTGGTTAAGCCAGAAAAAAGGTATTTTTAAATATCTGCAAGCCTTGTTTACGTCATTGCAGTTACAAAAGTTACCTTATCGTAGTTGGCAATGATTCCAACTAATTACAATTTATGTTTAACGTGAATACAGTTCTGAAAAATGGTTTCAATTAGATATAGATAACTTAATTTAAATCGACCTATTTTGAGTCAAGGAATTTGTGGTCTTCCGTTGTACACGCATTTCGGAGACACCTGTATATTTCCACAAGGATCCAATAAATCGTAACTTTAATGAATTCTTATGAAATTATCAGCATTTGATATACAAATTATAAGCTATCCAATGAACGATACAGATTTTCAAAATATCTTTTCGTTTT